GTTTTGGGGTGAAGGCAGGAGGGGGCACCTGTGAGAAGGTGTTTTGGGGTGCTTTGGGGTGAAGGGAGGAGGGGGCACCCATAGGAAGGCATTTTGGGGTGAAGGCAGGAGGGGCCACCTGTGAGAAGGTGTTTTGGGGTGCTTTGGGGTGAAGGGAGGAGGGGGCACCCATGGAAAGGGGTTTTGGGGCGAAGGCAGGAGGGGGCACCCATGGGAAGAGGTTTTGGGGTGAAGACAGGAGAGGGGCACCTGTGAGAAGGGGTTTTGGGATGCTTTGGGGTGAAGGCAGGAGGGGACACCTATGGGAAGGTATTTTGGGATGAAGGCAGGAGGGGGGTACCCATGGGAAGAGGTTTTGGGGTGCTTTGGGGTGAAGGGAAGAGGGAGCACCCATGAGAAAGGGGTTTAGGGGTGAAGGCAGGAGGGGGCACCCATGGGAAGGGGTTTTGGGGTGCTTTGGGGTGGGGTCGCCCCATCAGCGTGTGCCCCCCCCCGTGTCCCCCCCCCAGACGTGAAGCACTACGCCGTCTTCGTGGGCCATGGCACCAGCCGCCCGGCCGGCCCCGAAACGGGGGGCACCCAGCGCCTCAACATCCAGCGCATCCTCAAGGTCAACCGGACCCTCTTCATCGGGGAGAGGTGCGAACCCCGGCACCCCAAAACCTCCCACCCTTCTGGGGGTGGGCACCCAACACCCATCCCAACCTTCTGTGCTGGGGAGGGACCCCTGGGGCACCCCAAAAATCTGCCATGGGGCATCTTGGGGGGGCTCCATCGTGGTTGTCCTTGCCCCAGTGATGCTCATCGCCCACCCCACGTCTCCCCAGTGGGGTGGTGGTGGATCCCGCACCCCCCAACACGCCTCACTGGGGGGGCACATCCCTGGGGTGACCGGGAGCCCCCCAGGGTGGTGACACCCGTGTCCTCCTCCCCAGGGACAACGTCTACCGTGTCAGCCTGGAGCCCACCAGTGCCAGCGAGATGCGCTACCACCGGGTAAGTGCCGTGTCCCCGGGTGCGGGGGGGACACTGAGGGGGGGGCTGCTGGCTTCCCCCAGCCCCACATTGGGATTTCTCCCCCCCCCTCCAGAAGCTGACGTGGCGCTCGAACCAGCACGACATCAGCATCTGCCGGATGAAGGGGAAACATGAGGTATGGGGGGGTTGGTGGGGGGGCTGCACCCCATAGGGACCCCCCAGGGAGGGGACCGAGCACCCTCTGTGCCCCGTGTCACGCAGACAAGGCCACCCTGTTGTGTGTCCCCCCCCTCAGTGTCACCCCCGCCCCCCCCGCTCCCTGGAAGAGGGAGCACCCATGAGAAAGGGGTTTAGGGGTGAAGGCAGGAGGGGGCACCCATGGGAAGAGGTTTTGGGGTGAAGGCAGGAGAGGGGCACCTGTGAGAAGGGGTTTTGGGGTGCTTTGGGGTGAAGGCAGGAGGGGACACCTATGGGAAGGTATTTTGGGATGAAGGCAGGAGGGGGGCACCCATGGGAAGA